CAAAAAAAACGAAGTCCAGATGACATGATTCAACCTTTTTTGTTGTTCTTCTCCTTATGATTTCTTCTTATTGCTAAAAGTTTAAAAACTCAAATATTACATCTTTTTTTGTTTGTTTGTTTGTTTGTTTTTGACACCATGGCATTAAAACTTAAGATGTATCATTAGGAAAACAAATAAGTACAACTAGGATTCAGAATAATTAATTTAACGTTTTTTTTATTATATATATATATATATATATATATATATATATACATATGCCAAATCAGTGCAACTGATGGCCATTTTACAAAGCTGATGTGTTGATTTAGTTTCAGATTAGATTCAGATTAATGTCATTCAACAACATGTCAAATACATACAGAGAAACAAAAATGACCAGTAAATTTACAGTTTGACTTATTTTCTGTTACTTTGGCTCTTTAGGTAAAACAAATACACATGGGTGGTCTTTGCTCAGAGGTTTTAATATAAGTAAGTCATATATGAAAAAATGTGTGAATTTTGTTTCTTTATGAATTTTTTGTTAGATTTGTATGACTTTACAAAGCGTGCCTAAAGGTACTGAGTTAATTTGCCTCACAGCCGCGGGGAAGAAGCTGATCTTCGGCCTTGTTGTCTGGGCTTAGAGGCTGCACAACCTTCTGCCAGAGTGGAGGGGAGTAGTTCATGGGCTGGATATTATAATATTTTCTCTGGTTCTTCATCTGTTGGTGTGAGTGTCCTCTGAAAGGATGCCATTGTTGGTCATGTTTTTATACAGATGTAACCACTCTTTTCATCACCTTCTTGTCGGCTTCAGCGCAGTTTCTATTCTAGACAAATGGAAACTGTCAGGACACTCCACCATACATTGATAAAAAGAAGTTAACACAGCAGCACTGTGGCCAGTATGCTCATAACTTACAGCTGTTAGTGAGGTGAGCCTTTTTAATGATGCTGACTGTGTTTCAGGCTCATGTGAGGTCACTGGACATGTGCAGGCAAATGTTTTTGGCTGTTTTTACCAGTTTTACAGCTTCTTCTCTATTGATTTGACCCATTCTTTGAAGTCCACAACCCCTTTTTAGTCTTTGCAACAATTATTCTTATATAGTTTACTTTACTGTTCTAAAATTGCACCACTCAAGGTGGCTGCATGTTGGAGTAGCTGTTACTTTCATTCTGGGATATTGCTTTTGAAAACTTTATTTCTTCTTTTTCTGGATGTAAATTGTTTTTTTTTTTTTCCCCGAATGATTACTTCCTCTGGTATTGGATGCTGTGCAACTGGAAGGATTTTTACCTTTTTTACTTTTGTACATTTGTTATGAAGCATAACCATGACAACAAGGCAGTTTTTACAACCGAGAGCAGCTGATCAACATCTCAAAGCTCTAATATTACCTCAAATACAGCCCCAAATCCCAAATGAGTTGTAAAGGAGATGCCGTGGATGCATCTCTGTCTACCTGGTGGAGGTGCTCGAGTGACTGACTGCCAAGATCCTGTAGCTGGCAAGAAACATGGCTCATGACAACAAGAAGACCAGGATCATCCCCCGACCCTGAAGCTGGCTGTCTGCTATGCCGAGGAGCTCAACAAGCTGCTGAGAGGAGTGGCCATCGCTCAGGGAAAAGTTCTGCCCAACATTCAGGTGGTCCTGCTGCCCACGAGGACCGAGAGGCCCATTGGGTCCAGGTGGACGAATTGGCATCTGTGGCCAGATTCTTCAGATCCACTGTGGGAGATCCTTCCTGCTCACAGCCTTCAGCATATATAACTACGCTTAATGAAACCAGGATGATGAGCTACAACATTTAATTTCCCTTTGAGATTAATCAAGTATTTTGAATTGAATTGAATTGAATTGAATTTGAGCTATAATCAATTTGCTCCTCATCCTTTTTTTTAAATAGATTATCATTTTTGGAAGTCAGAACAACAGCACGGTCATCTGTGAATGTTACAATCTTTTTGTTCGGATCGCAGAGCAATCATATGTGAGCAACGTAGAGGAAGAGCCTCAAGACAAATCCTTGTTGGGAGCTGGTGTTGAATACAGTTGTGGAGAACGAGACACCATGGAGCTTCTCAGACCGACCTGCCCATCAGTAAATCCAAACTCCAGTCACATTGACACTTTCAGACCCAACAAGCATTTATTGATTAGGGCCCACGGAATGATGGTGGTAAACACAGAACTGAAACCCAGAAACAAGTTAATGAGAGCAGAATGAATGAATGCTGACCCTACATCAGACCTACAGTAGACCAGTTTGTATGAATATTGCTTTGGGTCCATGTCAACTGAGTCTTCAGTATGGCTATATGTGAGAGACACTGACAAAAAGTCATTTTATTCCCTTCACAAACTAACATTTGGGGGCAAAGTATGTTTTCCCATAAATTAATTATTGATCTTCTGTTTATTTTTAGTGCAGCTCAGTACAGCTGAGACCAGATTACTGAATTCAATAGTTTAAAAAGCATGGCTTTTAGAGAAAATTAGAGGCTATTCGCTGGTTCTGTCTTAAAGAGGAGTCCAACATGGCAGACTCAGCTAGACCTATTTGCTGTCTGTAGATAGAGAGCACTTAATCAAAACCACAGTGGTTCTTATTTTTCTCTTAACTAAATTAAAAACATGATTAGATCTTTTTAAGAGAAATAAAGTTTTTTCATACGTTTCCTTTTAATTGCTTCTGATTCTTGTAGATCCACCCGTTCACTGAGATAACGCTGCACTGAACACTTGATGCAGATCTGCACGCACAGTGACGGACTTGTTAAATCAGAACGTTCCACAAGGTTATTTGATTGCTCCCTACTTCTGACTGTTAACAGCAAAAGCTGGGTGGTGATGTGACATGGGTTTTGTTTTTTCTTTCCATTTGTACCGCTGCCCTGATAAGAGCACAAGCCTGACAGTGTCAGCAAAGGGAAGCGGAAGGCGCTCAGAGTGCACCAAGCAACCTGATGGCAGAATTGACAATAGAACATGTTGGCGCTGGAGACCAGGAATCTGACACCACGTTCTCACAAATACAGCCACTTCGAGGGGTGTCTAACCCTGAGTGATGGCCAACAAGACTCCAGGCTCTGACACCTTTTTATCAATATGGCATGGAAGCGAGCGGAGTGAGGCCCGTCAGGCATGTGACAGTGGAGGGATGGGGATTAAGCTTGTTACACGGATGTGATAACCTGACAATGAAATGGTGCGTACAAGGCATACAAAGATTGATGACTTAATGTATTCGTTTTCAGATGTTTTATTTTTGTACGTATTTCCATCAGTGCAAACAGAAGCAGATTACAAATTACATCAAGAAAGACTTCACAGCAGCTGATAGCAAAGTTGCAAAAAAAAGAAACTGCATTTTCTGAAAAGAAGCCCAGCAGGTCTCCAAGACAGAATATTCCTTCCTGGTGTAAATTCATTGAAAGTACATTTTCTGCAAGCCTGGCAAGCAACTTGGAGACAAAATATTTTATTTAAATCATCCCAATAGCTCTGAGATGTCATAAAGCATACACAATCAACATACACACTAGTTACAAATATACAGCTAGCACATCTCCTTCCATAGTTTGTGACAAACTGGTTCCTAAATAAATACTTCATTTCGTAAAATATTTCTCCTCCAACTGGTTAACTGGAGTTAACCATATTTAATATGGCCACTGCAATTAAGAGACGTTGGCGAACATGCAAATGGCTAAACCGCAGTGAATTTTAAAGACACTGAGCTAAAGTAGCAGACAACCATTCCCAATACATGCCCCAAGCACTAACAGATTTTGTGAGATCTCTTTTTTTTTTTACTTTGCAACAACTGTTGGAGTGAATGTCTATCTTTAAGCAACATATGTCACAATACACAGGGCAGATTTTAATGAAACGCTTAGAAGTTATTCATTTGGTGTACATCTACCATAGTTTTCAGACTATAAGGTGCACTGGATTATAAGGCATTAAGCGGAACAAGTTCATTTTGACAGATTTTTGAGCGTGTACCACATAAGATCGGTTCAAGGACAGTAAGCATAATCAGAATTAATACATAAGGTGCACCATATTATAATTGATCTTTGAGAAAATTAAAGGATTTGAAGTGCACCTTATAGTCCAAAAAATACAGTACAAATGATTAACATTTGGGTCAACTCATTCAAAATGGCCACCACAGCTAACTGGCTTTGGGAAACACAGAAATGGTTGTTATTCAGTCAGTTTTATAAGATTTAAAGTAGAATTTGTTGTGGTGGTGTCTGAGCATTATCCTCAACACATACTTTGTTTGAGTGCTACACTTTGATTTTGCTGAAAACGTTGACATTATCTATCGGTGTCGACCTTTTCTTTCTGTGACCAAAATAATTTGTGAACAAACAGATTCATTTTAATAAAACTTCATAAAATAATCATTACATAAACATCAAAAAGTGATTAACTTATGGAGTCACCCCAATTCAAGTTAGCCACCACAACTAAACAAACGTGCCTAATCCAAATATGGCTGTAACTGTCATTTTTGCATGTATTGAGATATATTTGATAGTAGCTGAAAGTCCTCCTCAACACATTCTCTCACATCAAAATATTGCATTTTGTCATTTACAAAGTTTGACTAATAACTCCTTCTCAGCCTGCAAGGATTTAAGTTTAAGAATATGGCGTAAAAGGTGGCAGGCAATAGGTATAATACATATTTCTTTTTTCAGAATCGGAATCAGAATCAGAATAAGCTTTATTATCATCGTACCGGGATACAGTGAAATGATGTTCGTAATCGTCCGAAAGATGTGCAGAGTGCACGTTGCTGCTGCTGAAAAGCACGGCACCTTATTCTTTATCAGAATGCTTTTAAATAGAAAAAGGGAAGAAGATAGTGGTATTACAAAAAAGATCTCTTCACATCCTGTCCTATCAGGACACGATTTGAGACATCAAAAAACTCTACCAGCAAGCACGTTTAAAAACATGATTATGCATTTGCCGTCAAGGTGTTGAGATTTGTCCATGAGCATTTTCAGATAGGCCACAGTCCTCATGATGTTGTCTCAGTCGGCAGTTCTGATAAGCCTGCACAGAAGTTCTTGGGGGGGGGGGGGGGGGATAGACAAAGCTTTTGTCTCTAGTTACCCATGTCCCAGGAGTAATTTGATAGTCGGCTCATATCCAAGGCCAAACAGGGGAGTCAGATTCAGATAAGCCACAATTGTTGATTTTCTTCAGGCAGACAGTTTTTCCTCATCAGCCTTGAGTCCAGCTGGAACTTTCCTGTTCGAAATGGTCCCGTTTATAGGAATCCACTCCACTGATCCGTGTTATGAGCCTTCTTCAAGGTAGACTCCGACATGCTGACGAGTCCCAGAAGCGGCAGGTGGCCTGCGATTCTCACAAATCGCCTCCATCTTATGGTTTAGCTCGTAAATCAGCTGATTTTGAGTAGTCATAGCACAGACCAAACCTTCATACTGCCTCGGAAGCTTTGTCTTAGCTGAAACTGCTCCTGAAGTCTTCTTCAAAAGTTGATAAAACAGAGCCCAGCCGATGCTAAAGAGCAGAAGCCCTGCTCGCATAAATCCAAATATATAAACGTCTTCAGCATCTTCCTGAGACAGAACTGAGAGACACATCAGCTGCCAAACTCCCCACAGATCTCTGATGTACCCCGCAGCGTGAGTCTCAGCCAGACAAGAGGGTTCTCCAAGATCCTGTTGTTTTGTTGAAAAGATTTTGTCGATTGCGTTGAAAGTCCAGCTCACCAAATCCATAATCTTAATTTTCATTTTGGGAGATGTGTGCCAGGAGCTTCAAACACACAGAGAGCAAAAGCAGGAGGGAGGGCAGGAGCGTCCACCTTGAGCGAGAGCCAGAGTAGCTTTTTTTAATTTCACTGAACTTTAAGCTAACGTAGCATCTTTTAGCTTGGTTCTGTCACACACAAGAATAGATGGAAATGCTTGCAAATCACTCTAATATACAAAAGTGCCAGCTATTTTAAATAAATTACGGCTTATTATTGTTTGAAAACGTCGTAACATCACTTTAAAATGTTTCTGTTCTACATCAACACAAAACTTATCAATTTGCATTTATACAATTGCTAAATTACACCATGTGTTCATTCTAATTTACAGCTACTCCACCATATGGGGTTTTATAAAACCGTGGAAACAAGCACATGAGAAGAGAGATAAATTTAGAGTTTCAGTTTTTGTGATTTTATCTACAGCCACATTCTGCCACTACCATTCCCTCGTACTTGTGGTTGAAAGTGATCACTCCGTTATCGTGATAAAGTAGTGAGATCGGCTCCAGTTTAGTTGGGACACAGCAGGCAGGCGACACTTTTTCAGGGCTCTTGAGGCTCAGGCGCGTCTGCACTATGGCATGCTTGGTAGGCGAGACCTCAGATGTCATTGGAGGGTTGCACACGCCGTTGCACTTGTACGCTTCGTAGCCCAAAGGCTGGATAATCCACGTGTCCCAGCCAATGTCTTTAAAATTCACAAAGAGCGGAGTCCTCCTGCACGACTCGCTCTTAACGTTGCGTCGAATTCGAGAAGGTGCGTCATAGATGACATTGGACTGCAGCTGCAGGGCAGACTGTTGGTCCAGCTCGTCCTGGTCAGTGTCGTGATTCACATGGCCCCAGAAGGATTGCTGGCTCCTGCCCATGCTGACAGGGAGGTCATTCTCATGCTTTATCATCTGACTGAGCTCCTGTCTGTCCTGTTTGTGATCTCTGCTCTGGTCATCTGAGAATACAATCATCATTGAGTTATGTTTCCCCTCCAAGTTCTTGTCAACATCGATCTCATCCAAGCCTTCACGTTCCTCCATGGCCCCTTCTTCCCCTGACCCCAGACTTTTAATATGAACCTCCAGTTTGTGAGTTGCACACCCTGACTTTCGCCAGAGTGTAACCACACGAGTGAGGTCAAACGACACCCAGCTATTATCTTTGACATTGATATGTTTTGTCACCAGTTCCTCCAAATCCTTCATCTCCACCACCTCCTCTTCATCCCTCCCTCTTCCTTCTTTCCCCACCTCTTTTGTCCAGACAATACCGTCATGTGACTCATAGATTGTCACTTCGCAGTTAAACCCAGCAAATTGTCTTTGGGCCTTTCGCACAAGAATGAACAGTCGGAGCTCAGCGATTGTTATGTGCTCGCGGTGGGGCAGGGAGATGTTAAACAGCAGGGGATATATCCGGACACCCTTGGCTCTCATACAACATGGGGAGGAATCTGCAACCAAGATACCAGAAAGAGGATTTCAGTGCTTTTATATAAAGTGGTCTAACAATTGCACTTTTTTGCAATGTCAAACATAAGAGAAGTAGTTAAATAGTAGTAAAGGTTTTTTAAACAAAACAAGTTTGTACCTTCGTTCTTGAAACTGCGAACAATGCTGGCAGATGGGGCTGCAGTGTAGTCATTGGCAAATCGGTTGTAGAGATCCAGCATGTACTCCGGCAGTGGTTCTTTATGGACAACCTGAGGCCGGGTTTGGGACCTCAGTCTGGTGAGGTTCAGTGTGGACAGAAACTGGCTCAAAAAGTCCTGAACACTGAGGGGAGGATTCCCACCGTCGTCCATATTAACTGATGTCCTGTAACGAGTCTCAGTGGGCTCAATGGGACTGCTCCAGCTCAAACCGGACAACGACAGAAGCACAACGTTCAGGACAAACCCAGAGTAGGAGAAAACCGGAGTGGTCATCGCTGAGCAGAGGACAGATTTAAATCCAAAAATGAAATGTAAGGAAAGCAAATACTATCCTTCATTAAAGCACAACAGGTTGCTGTTGGGGGCCAAAGTGTGAAACAGCTTTGCCCTCGTTGATCTTGAAGTTTGGTTCTGAGAGCAGGGCGGTGCTGTCCAATGTGTTGTGCTGACATGTTTGGAGATATCACTAAGGCCTTGCTGTGCCCTCCTCTCTCTCACCATACCAGAGGCTTTAGACTATCTATATAAACCCCTTATAAACTGCCTCATTTTGATGGCTGCTCTCCTTGCATCAATTTTGATGAGCATAACATTTAGTTAAGTTAATTCTGCTGCACACGAAATCAAAAAAGAGCAAATAAATAGTAAAACTGCATACAAGATTACACCCAAGTCAAACTTCAACAAACTGTGTGTTTTTGTCTAAGAAAAGGAATTGATTCATCTTTTTCTTTATAATTGTTCATTTTCACAACAGGCTATAGTAGATTTAATATCCTACTTTTCTAATTAGAGTAAACTTTTAAAATTAAAGTATTTTGATCTTTGACATATATGATTTTTGTTAGTGCACCAATTAATTTTTGCTGTGCATCATATTCCGATGATAGCCAACGCTGGTGAACACTCATGGATCCCAATAAATAGATCTAACTGATGAAAAAAAAAATGTAAAGAGAAAATCCACAAATTTATAACTACTGATCCGATTATGTTATTTGGAGATAACAGGTACACACTGATTAAATGTAAAAAAAAAAAGAAAAAAATCTAAAGTTTGATTTTGTATTATAAGAAGCAACACAGATGTGAAACTATGCACAGCATTTATTTTTCGTTTTCATTCAACATTGCAATGCAAAAAGAACCACTGCTAAGCAGATCTGTATCACTTTGTCAGCATTAGCTAAGACACATAAATAACTCTTAATTAATAACATGGGTATAACAATTAACATTACAATATAAATGCCTTTATTCTGAGTATTAACAGTCCTTTGTTACACATGTACAATCCCATTCTGCCGTTCATTCGACAAATGCAGTAGACTCATACTGAGAATCAACGAGCTCAACTTTACTCTATCAAGGTAAAACTAAAAGTGGATAATAGCCCTAATTCTACATGTATTAGAGACAAACAAAAAAAAATTCAAGATGTTTTTTTAGATCAGAACGTCTTAAGCCTAAAACCATTAAAAAATAAAAGTAAAAAAACACACAAAAACAAATCCACATACTATTTGGGGCTTTACAATTGACAAACTAGAAGTAAATAGGCTGTAAAAGTCTAGTTGTACATATTCTTTGGAGTCACTATTAACCACAGTTTGCATATTTGGGCTATTTTATATATCACACACTATCAGTCATGAGTTTTGGACCTGCAGAATGTCATCTAAACAATTTTCTGAATAATTACATGTAAATGTTTGGCACGTTATAAGTTTTATAAACAAAGGAATTTTTTTAATCTATTATATTTTTTTAACAAACTGAGTTTTTTGTCTGTACAAAAGAAACAAGATGGCACAAATTCTACCAGCAGAAAGTGTCTTTCACACTATGTCTGGCTTAAATGGACATGTTGTCAAGTTTACACCCAGGAGTCCAGTGGTGGAGGCTTGTTATCCATGAGGCCCACTGCAGGCCTGCCAGCTCTGATGAAGTGTTTTCTTTCACTTATCGCCTGTGTGAAGAAACACGGCTAAAGTCGGTCAATTAGCATAGAAACACGTGTCATAAAGAAGAAAAATCTCTAAACACAACGTTCTGCAGCAAACATCCAACCCTGCATTGAAAACAGTACTATGTAGTTTTTACATACAAAATAAATTCTGTCAGAGAGGATTTAAAATCATGACAAAGTCAGTGTTTGGAAAAAAAAACTGGTTACCTGAAGAGCATCTCTTTCTACAACAGCCTCCTTTCTCTCTCCAACTCTGTCGTTTGGCTCTAAGGTGGAGTATATGTCTGCAAAGGAACACAACATGCTAATTAGCAGGCAACGATGTGGAAATCTCAGAGTCAAAAAGGGCTTAACTTTGCATCATCGTGAGCAGTTTTAGAAAAAAATCAACATTGAACAGATCTAATATGATCATTCTTAACCAAACCAAATGATAACATCTACCTATGGTATGCAAAATGTTTTATTTTATGCACAAATTGTTGATATTTTGATTGTATGAATGCGTTTTATTTAATGGTTGGAGAGCCGAAGGAAAATTTTCACCTTGGTGGACAATAAAGTTTTATCGTATCGTATTGTATCATATCGTATTGTATCGTACTGTAACTTTATCGTATCTTATCATATCGTATCATCTTATCATTTTGTATCTCATCGTATCGCATCGTATCTTATCGCATCGCATCTTATTGCATCGTATCTTATCGCATCGCATCTTATCGCATCGTATCTTATCGCATCGTATCGCATCGTATCGCATCATATCTTATCGCATCGCATCGTATTGTATCGTATCTTATCTTATCATATCTTATCTTATCATATCATCTTATCATATTTTATCTTATCATATTGTATCGCATCGCATCGTATCTTATCGTATCTTATCATATCTTATCATATCTTATCTTATCGTATTTTATCTTATCATATTGCATCGCATCATATCGTATCGTATCTTATCTTATCTTATCTTATCTTGTCTTATCTTATGTATCGTATCTTATCTTATCTTATTACAGTGTTTATGGTAAAAATGTTACATTTTCTTTCAAACTGTGCAGTTTTTTTCAGCACTACCTGTATCAGTGGTTTTCTGAGTTGGGCTCAGAACCCCAGTGTGGGTCATTAAAAACCTATGCGTGTCCTTGAGATGATCTGCAGAAACCAAACAATGTTTTAAAGGGACAGTCTGGTCATTGGTGAAGTGTTGTTCTGTCAGTAGTAGTTAGCGCAGATGTGGGCAACTTAAGGTCCGAGGGCCAAAAGTGGCTGTTGGACAACCTCCATCAGGCCCCCAATAGCCTTAGTTCAAAAGAAAACAACAACAAAAAAAGGATAAAAAAAGAACACTTTATAAATGAAACTTAAGGACATTTAAATTAAGAATCTTACGCAAAACCGTTTTAAAATATTGTTGTTTTTTTATTTTGTATAAGTCATTCGTTTTCCAGAAATAGACTGAAACTTAAAGACGTAGAAGCACAACTATATATTAGTTTTGCATATTTCTGTTAACATGTATAATATGTTATGCTAATGTGCATAATATAATGTCACAAGAGCCAGTTTACAATATGTCTTACATTCCTAAAGGATTCTGGAAAGACAAGTTTTTATAAAGCATGCTAATTATGCTATAACAAGAAAAAGCCCGAAAAAGGTCTTCTAGATTATCTGTCGTAAAGAAAATTTATTTTCCAATTCTCCATGTGGCCCTTTGATTGCTTTATACGCCTTGATGTGGCCCGTTGGAAAAAAAAAAAATGTTGCCCACCTGTGAGTTAGTATCTTGTAGATGAACATATATCTGTGATATATTCATAAATTAAACGGATTCTTTCATTTTTCTGGACTGAATAATATCGTGCATTGAATAATTAAATGTGACGTGAGACGTTAATTTTCTTTGACCCATCAAATGAATGCGGTCATTTATTAACAGAATCAAAGTTTAACATCACACATTTACATTAATTTGGCAAAATTGATTACAATAACAGCTTAATTAATTAGCTTTACAGTCAGG